AATTCATGAAAAAAAAAAAAAATGTCCAGCCATTTTACAGGACACGTTATACTGTTCAATTTCTGCTATATATTAATCCAAACTCCACAGCGCCACCTCATATTATATGCTAATTAAGTGCGAATTAATCACCTGCCAAAAATCACCATTAACCACAAAAGCAGAGTTAGAGACTTGAATAAATTATAAAATTTAGGAAGATGTTACGGTCTCGTTACGGAACTATTCGGTCGAGGTTTGAAACCGTTAGATCAACTATCTTTGACAATTAAATGATGATTAACTGTTACAAATCTCGACGAAATGGTTTTGTAACGGGACCTTAGCATTTTCTGAAAATTTAAACCAGCAGAAAACATACATATGCTCATGAATTTGACGTGTATATAGTGTTAAAAACAAGATTTACCTCTATCCACCACCATAGTTGTTGTTGTTGTTGTGAGTATGATGTTGAGTAGTAGTCTTCTTCTTGAAAGCTGATTTAGTAAACAAGAAACAAGACGTAAGCAGTCCCACACTCACTAATCCCCCCATCACTATTGCTACTGTCTTCCCACTATTCGTCCCTCTCCCTCCCCCTGCACACCTCAATCTTATTAAAACATACATGATTATATATAATCTTGAAAATATACACGTGAGATTTACGAGCCTAGTTTATAAGTTTAGTGGACTACTCTTCCCGTCACCAATTGGTTTGGGATGAAACCTGACCAAGGTGTAGTATACATTGTTCTACTTTTCTCTAGGGAAATACAATACTTTACCCGAGGATGAAAGTGATTTCCGATCGGCCGGCACCCCATCGGGATAATACGTGTAGCTTATAAAACACGCCTGCATATAAACCTGCGCCGACATCGATCCTCCGCATTCCGACTTTGCCCTATCGTCCGCGTTTTTCACACACTCCACACACTCGGTGCCGCCCAGATCACCCTCACACTGACCTAACACGTACACCGACCGATACCCGCCGGCGTAGAATCCTCCGCCGTCCTCCAAACCATTCGCCATCCCACCCAACGCCGCGTCCAATCGGGCCCCGAAACCGGGCTCTCTGGCTCGACCCGGCCCGCAGATCTTGAACAGAAGCTCGGACGCTCCCGCCACCTGGAACCCGGAGGCCTCGTACCTGAGGTAGCAACCGGCGAGCTGGATCCGGACGGCCACCGCTCGCCGGCAGAGCTTTCCGGCCAGGGACGAGGCTTTCCTCACGCAGGCCGAGCAGGAGTCGCCGGAGAGGTCGCCCCGGCACTGGAAGCGGCCGTCGACGGCGGAGCTGCTGGCGGCCCCGGAGGTGGCGTTGTGGAACTTGGCGGCAGAGGACTGGGAGATTAAGCCGTCGAGGAGGTGCTTGATGGTGTGGCTGTGGAGTTTGTCGGAGTCCGGGAAGCTCTGGTCGGCGCAGCCTTTGAAGACGAGGTTCGTGTAGTCCGAGGAGGAGGCTAGAGAAAGAAAGACGGCTAGGGAGATGGGGAGAATGAGAGATGATGATGGATGAGAGAGAACCATTTCGTTTTTTTTAATGAAAATTAATATTTTTTGTTAGTTAATAATAGGCAGGCAATGTATAAAGGTATGGGGACGAAGTTATTGATGATTTTAGCTTTTTGGTGGCTTCTGGTCTAGTGCCTTTTCTTTTGTTTTTTGTGTGTATTGCGTGCATGTTAAGTGTTTATTATTATTATTATTATTATTATTATTATTATTATTATTATTATTATTATTACTATTATGTGTTATTGTCCTTTTATATCACTTAACCAAAAATAAAAATGAAATCTAGTCCTCTTTTTAATAAAAATAAAATCTAGCCATTCTTGATAGGTAAAAGACATCTATACCCTTAATATTATTTTCATCAAAAATAAGCTCAAAATGCTCAAATTTCAAATATTTGAGAAATGAGTAGAATAAATAATACTCCGCTTTGGGAAAATATTGAAAAAATCCGAAATAATCAAGAATTAATTCTTGAAAGACTTGAAAAAATGAGTAGAAATATCGAATTTCTTGATACTTTACTATCAGAAATTCTTGATATCGCAGCAAAAGCTGACAAAATTATTGAAAATATCAATAGAATAAACGTAAATAGGTTAGAAGAAACTTTAATAAAATTAGACGAGAAAATTCCAAAAATTGAACCATTAATGGAACATTTAAGCAAAGTAATTTTACTTGTAAATCAAATTGCAAAAGAATTAGGATTAAATGTCTAAAAGTCCCGACGTAGGGAATGTACAACAAATACTAACAATAGTTAGTGAAATAAAAAAAGTTGTTCTAAGAATAGAGCAAAATATACAGCAGTCTGAGTCTAATAACCAAAACAATAAATTATTAGAAATAGAAAGAGTTTTAAGAAATATTAAAGAAAAGAAGTCTATACCAACATATAGACCACCGAATGAATGGGATCTTAGTAATCTATTTAAAAATGGAAGAAAAAGATTGCCTGGAGAAAAATGAACAGTGACACTGATTCTATTCAAAGTGAAACTGATATTCAGTCTCTATTAGACAAATATCAGAATATATTATCCTTAAAAGAATTCGTTAGAAATTACAGCGACTCTAGTTCAGAAAGTGAAAATGTAGAACCAAAAGATCGTTATAAATGTTAAAATTGAAGAAGATCTTAAGGATATTCCTCCAGGACCAAGCAATTATCAAGACACTCATGAGTATATGACTCCTGAAGAATACATAAACGATGAGTTCTATAATCCAAATGCAGATAGGTGCTTTGGTGTATCTGATGAAGAAAAAACATTCCCCGAAATAAATATTCCAGGAATAATGAATATGAATAGAAGTAAGGCAAAACCTTACAAGAAAAATAAAACAAAGAATTATATTCCGAAGGAATTTATTCCTAAAGATAATTCTAATAGTCATAGCGATAACATACTCAATCTAGATTGTTTGACAAAACCAGTTGAAACAATAAAAGGTTGGTATAATTATATGTTAGTAACAATACAAACTAATAGAGAAGCATTTGAAGATCTAAGAACATTAAAAACATATTTAGAACTTCATATGAAGGGAAATGTTAGAAACTGGTGGGATTCAAACCCATATGTTCTAAGCCTTGATGCTCTTTGGAATAAACCGGAAGATAACATAGAGTATCTAAATGCTTTGGCTAAACTACTAGTTAATGAGTTTGTAGGAGTCAGAGAATTAGATAACACAAATGTAGTGTTAGAAGAGAGACAGAAAAAAGCAAAGTTCATACTTGACAATATTCAAATATGTGATATTTGTTATTGGAAAAATTTTACATGTGAATATGAAAAATGGTATTACTTGTTAAAACAAGAAGATAGACCAGCATATGCTGAAAAATACTTCAATAAGCTGCCACCACTGTGGGCTTTTGAAATGAACAAAAAATGGTCTAATAAACCTGATCATATTACAGAAGGTTTTGCAGGAAGAGTAAATCTTCTTAAAGAAACCATAGAAGATAGATGTAAAGATACCCAATTACGAGGGACTCTTGTATACTATCAAAACAAACCATGTTGTGATCCTCAATTATTAGAAATACCCAATAAATGGGGTTGTAGAACTAAAAAAGAGAGGCATTCTAGGAAACTAAAATACCAGAAGTTTAAAAAGTATAAAAGGTATATTCCTAAATATAGGAAATACGAAAAAGAGAATCATAAAATGAACAAACCCAGATATGGAAGAAGAATTCAAAGAAAAGAAAAATATTGCCCAAAGGGAAAAACTAACTGTAAATGTTGGTTATGTCAGGAAGAAGGTCATTATGTAAATGAATGTCCTAAAAGAAAATAAAGTAAAGATAAAGTTAAAATGCTTTATACAATGCAAAAATTCAACTTTGAACCAATTGAATCTAAAAATGAGTTTAATGATTCAGAATATGAATTAAAATTTGAAATAGAATATAAACAATTCTATTCCAAACCAAACTCTGAATGGGAAAGTTGTACTGATGATAGTTCTGACGAATGGAACAATTGTTAAATATAACTAACCCTAGTAGCACCTATATCAAGGTGGGTTTTAAATTCACTGGATATAAACTATATCATCTTCATGGATATATAGATACAGGTGCAAGCATTTGTGATGCACATCCTTTTGTACTGCCCATTGAAAAATGGGAAAATGCTAAACAAAAAATAACTGCACGAGTTGCAAATAAACAAGTAATTACTTTAGAAAAAGTGGCTTATAATGTTACATTTTTAATAGCAGGAGAAAAATTTATAGTTCCTACTATATACCAACAAGATACGGGAGTAAACCTTTTGATAGGTAATAACTTCTTAAAATTATACAGACCATTTGTCCAGGAAATAAATGATATACTGTTACATTTAAATGAAGTACCAGTTTATATAACTATATTGCAGAAAGCTTATAGCTTTGCATCTAAAGAATTTATGAAAAATAACTCCAAACTGCGAAAACGTGGTGAGGTTACTGAAATAAAAAAGAAAAACATTGCAATAACAAATGAAACTAGAAATCCAGAAAGAATTTTTATTCGAACCATGCAATGTAAAAGAATAATGGATACCTTAATATTTAAACATCAAATGCTTTATATGTTGTCTTTAGGAGACTGTCAAAGAGCATTAAATAAAATAACGAGTGAAAATCCGTTAGATAAAATGCTTAATAAAAGCATAAAAAATCCAGCTTTACATGCTGAAATAAAATTAATTGACCCTTTAAAGGTTATAAGAGTTAAACCAATGTGCTATACTCCTCGAGATAGAGAAGAGTTTAACATGCAGATTGAAGAATTAATAAAAATGAATTTAATTCGGCCTAGTAAATCTCCACATAGTAGTCCAGCTTTTCTAGTAGAAAATGAAGCTGAAAAACGAAGACAAAAAAGACGTATGGTCATTAACTATAAAAAAATTAAATGATAATACAGAAATGGATGGGTATTTTTTACCTAAGAAAGAAGAGTTATTTCATTTAATTAAAAATATGAAATGGTTTAGTACGTTCGACTGTAAGAGTGGATTCTGGAAAGTCCCTCTGAAAGAAGAAAGCAGAAAGTTAACAGCATTCAGTTGCCCAAATGGACAGTTCGAATGGAATGTTGTTCCTTTCGGGTTAAAACAAGCTGCTGGATTATTCCAAAGGAGAATTGACAATGCTCTATGTTTAAAAGACCCGAGCAAAGAATTTAGTAAAAGTTGCACGGTATATGTTGATGATATAATTGTCTTCAGCAAAACCGAACAAGAACATTATAAACATGTTATACAAGTACTAGAACAATGTCTTAAAGAGGGAATAATTCTCTCTGAGAAAAAGGCTAAAATTGCTCAAACTAAGATTAATTTCTTAAGACTTGAAATTGAAAATGGAAGTCTAACTATGCAACCGCATATCATGACAAAAATTTCTGAATTTCCCTCAGAAATAGGAAATAAAAAGCAACTACAAAGATTTCTTGGAATCTTAAATTATGTAGAAGGCTACATAGCCAATTTAGCAGCAATACGTAAGCCTTTACAAGCAAAATTGAAAAAGGATGTCATTTTTACTTGGTCTCCAAGTGATACAACATACGTAGAAAAAATAAAGAAAAAACTCAAAACTCTACCCACGTTATATCATCCTCAAGAAAATGACAAAATGATTTTAGAAACGGATGCCTCCGACTATTAATGGAGTGCAGTCTTAAAAGTAAAACCAACAGACTCTACTGAAGAAAAATTGTGTAGATATACTTCAGGAACTTTTAAAGATGCTGAAAAGAATTATCATAGTAATGAAAAAGAATGGCTAGCAGTCTTACGTGGCATTCAAAAATTTAAAATATATCTTATCTCTAATAAGTTTTTAGTAAGAACTGATAATAAAAATTTCAGTTATTTTATTAGAAACGAATTTAAAGGAGATTACAAACAAGGTAGATTGATTAGGTGGCAATTACACCTAAAGCACTATCAATTCGATGTTGAACACATAAAAGGTGATAAAAACTATCTTGCTGATTGTCTAACAAGGAAATTTGCAGGTATTTGATTGAAGAAGCAGTTACTCGAACAAGATCATCAAAAAATTGCAAAATCAAAAGCAAAAAGGACCAGAATGGATCTTCAAGTTGAAGAACTCAAATTGGAAATCATGCAAAAGGAACATGAATTGGAAATCTTAAAACAGAAATTGAAGATAATACAGTTGAAAAATCAGACAGAGAAGGGAAGACTCTCAGAGTCTGATAGCAAAAGCGAAGCCAAAACCATAACCGAATACAAAGATGCTTTGGTCAAAGATCAACAGACCCAATCAACCTTTATCGAAGATGAAAGGGCACCTAATTGGTACACGGTACACACCGGACCAAAAATTGGAGTCTATAATAGCTTTGAGAAAATAAAAGATTTTCCACCTGAATACTATCATACGGCAAAAACTGAATTTGAAGCAAGAATGATCTTTGAAAAGCTAAAAAGCAGAATCACTGAGAGAGTGCCAGTATATCGTAACACTGGTATTCC